TGGCAGGGGGGTTGGAACTAGATGATCTTTAAGGTCCCTTCCAACCCAAACCATTCTATAATTGCTGATTTTAGTGATTGTCCTTATGTTGGAAACTTACGAATAACCTTAAAATAAATCTCCCTGGAGATTTTTACAATTTTTAGAGTTTAACCTGCAGCAACCATGGCTAGCTTCTGTCTTTTAGGGAAAATAGAGTCAATGGATATGTAGAACTAAATCTGAGTAAGGGAGTAATACAGAGAGGGTCACTAATCTATCTTTCAGAGAGGTATATGATGAACACAACGTCTCCTTTTAAAATAAAACAAAAAAGCTGACAACCTTAAATAGTAAAAAAAAAATTATAGTGACTGTGAGATAATTTTGATGATTTTTGAAAAGTGCTTAGTCTCACTGTAAAATAACGTTTATTTAGGGAATGTGCTGTACAGGAGCTTCGACACCAGAATCATACAATCTCCTATCAGTTAAGCTCTACATTGAGAACATCATCACCTGAACATTCCCAGAATTCATCCCCCAATTTGTTTCTGAACTGATCCCTGGAAGGGGTAAGTGATTGAACAACACTGAAGTTCCAAACTCTGGTGTGGGGGGAAAGAGATGAATTTTGATATTTCATGTTGAAATATTGGCTGAATTCCATGGAATTGCATTGCTCCAAGAGAAGTTACAAGAAGATTCAGGACCACAATCTTTTGATGATACTCCTTTTATTTTGTTTTATTGAGCTGTATAAAAATTATATGGTTAATAGCAATTACTTGCACCAGGATGCTATAGTCATAAATTCTTAACACAGTAATAGAAATAATGCTACAGAAAACCTCTACTGGACTTGCCACCATTTTGTGCAGGTGTAAATGTAAATATTTTTATTTTTCTTACCGCAAAGCTCTTAACTGTCCAGCCTTTCTCCTTCTAAGAGTTTTCAGAATAGTTTTAACTATTCTGCATTTTTTAATGAGAAACATAAATGCATTCTAAAAGTCTTCAAGCACTTGTAACCCTGAGGAGGAGCAAGCCCAGCTTTCCTTTTAACAATCAGTGAAATGGAGCCTCCACAATATGCAGCTACTCCCCTGTCACTTTCAGTCTCAGCTTAGTTTCATATTTGGTGGCTGCGTGCTTGTTGCATCACACTGTTTTGGTAGATTTATGGCAGCATGCATTAAAAAAAAATTGCCAGTCGAAGGGGGAAAAGTCTCAATTCATGACTTGCAAGGAAATAATTTCTGCGTCTGAGATGTACCTCCAAGATGACCTTTGTTAATGCTTTGTTAACTAAGATTATTACCTTTGGCACTTGATTAATCTTTGTTGTCAAAAGCTCCTCTAAGTACATAGATCTGGAGAATACGAGACAAGTTTCCTCGGGTCAGTGAGCTGGTTACTGGTGCCCTTAGTGGGAAAACACAGCTGTGCAAGGCAGTGATTTTGTAGCTATTGCCCGTCCTTGACAGCAAGTACAGGGAGTCTTCATTCCTCTGATGGAACCACGTCTACTCCTCCTTAGTCTGAGTACAGCATGGCTCTTAACTTTGTTGAAATAAGCATTGTATCATTTGGAACAGTTTAATTTACTATTAATTACCATAACACTTCCTTCTGTTTTTGATACTGCATAAAGAAAAGATCCATGTAGTTACCACACTAACGATTACTTGCTTCTTCTATTTGTATCACTCCCTTTTCAGGGTGATAGAATTCCTTTCTAATTAGTAAACTTCTGGCTAAATACCAAGTCAAGACTAATCTTCGACAAACTAGATTATGAATTCAACTCCTTTCTTGTTTGCTTTTTGGGTTTTGTGAGGGGTTTTTGTTGTTTTGTTTTGGTTTTTTTTTTCTCCTGGCTGGCCTTACATGGCATGATCTGCTTTTGCACATTCCTAGGGAACAATGAGTTTAAGTAAGGACTGTAAATGAAATATGTGAGCCAGGTATAAATACTTTGTTTGCTTAAAATCTTCGGCTGGTTTAAGCTAAATCTCTCTCAATTAAATCAATGTAGCTTTTGAGTGCAAATGAACTCATTTTTTTTCTGCTTAATTATTTTCCATTTCTGAGTGCTCAAGATACTAATATATTCATAACTTTTTTCCTCATCCAGCTCTTTGTTATACTTTCTTTGGCTAAGTGGGAAGAACTAGGGTTGCTCCAGATTTATTTATAGTAAATGGTTTGGGATTGTTCTCATTAAAAAAACCTGTGCAATGAACATTCAAACTTTGGCAGTCTGTGCTATGTTTTAAAAGCTTAACTGGAAAGAATTTATCAGGTTTGTGTAGTGCAGTGATACAGTGATGAATAAAATAGCCTGTTTGATAAGGCTCTCCTGAGGTAGAGCAGAGATCTGAATTTGGATCTGTCTGCTTTGCATAAGTGATTTACATCATCTGATTTACCTATGTCTGGGTAAGTGCTCATGGGTGAGTGCTCTAATGTCCATAATACTAAAGTTCTTGATAAATTTTATGTCAAGAACTTAGTCTGTATCAAGAAAAAGACAGAATAGTAGAAGTGTCCAAAATACTTATGAATGGTGAAATCATTTCTCTCTCGGCTAACTCTAGAAAGATTCAGAAAAATTCTTTGAGACCAGAATGAAAGAAAAAACAATGTAAAATATGGCCTCCCAGAGAGTAAAAGCAAAAATATTAATGCAAATATTTGGGTGCCGTTATCAGCAGAATCACAGAATTAAGATTTTTAAAACAGATATATGGGGAATTGATGAAACATGATTTAGGTGTAAGTTCCTGTTGGATTTAAAGCAGAATAATACTAGAAATAGTTCTCCTGGAGGTGAAATTTCATTTTTCAATTGCTTGAAGACAGGTTAGCAGGGATTGAAAAAGACATTGTAGAAACAAGTACTCATTGGGAGATAGGCTTCTCCCTCAGCTGATGTCTGACTGCAGTACATGAAGTATAAGCAGTGCTGGAATCACCATTAATGCCCTTCCTCCTCTCCAGTCTTTTGGTGCTGTTTGAGCAGACAGGCTCTGATGGGAGATGAGACACAGTCACCTTTTTATTTTATTGAGAATGTCATACCTGAAGCAAATTACAGTAACTTTTTCTTATTCTTCTATCTTTCTCTGTCTGTAATGCACCATACTCCTTGTTTCGGTAAAGTGAAAAGAATGTGCCTTGTAGTTTGTCTTGCAGACCTAGTGGGAAAGATCTCTTCTGTCTGATTTTCCCAAGTAATAGGAGTCGAAAGCTTGCCTTTCACTTCAAAGAGCATTATAGCACTTTTGTACAATAAAATCTAATCTGAATTGACTGTTGAAAAGACTATGAAGTCTGCTCAAAGTCCTTTCAGAATCAAAACCTTAAAATTTTGAACATGGAAACAGATGAGTGTATTTCTGTATTCACTGAACATAAAACAAATTAGATTTCTTTTTTTTTCTTTCCAGGAATTCTTGTTTCAAGGACTTATAATGTTATATTCACCATGGCTTATGAAGACTCTGCACACCATCTGAAGAGTTCAAGTTTAATGCTCATTTAATTACAATTTTTCCCTGCTGAAGGAGCTTCCTCTCCCAGCTCGTGTTATTGTGTGAGACAGCCCATCTCAGTAAAAGAAAACGCAAGTTCCACTGATTTTATTGACGGTGTGCTTTATTTTTGAAGTGTGCATAATTTTAAAAGGTTATTGATATAACTGAGAAAAGGGAAAGAAAATAACAATATGAAACTTTATTGAAGGAAAAAGTGTCTATATTCAGGCATTATGATTTGGATGTATTTTTGCTGAACTATGCGAGTATTACGCTTAAGAGAATGCTGTGGCATCTCAAGATAGGAAGAGTTTGAGGTTTTTTCCCCCCTTCAAACCTGACTAACTTATTAATTTGGATAAATAAGATGGTAATGCCAGCAGATACCGGTGTTCTGATATCCAGCTATGAAGATATGTATTTTTAGTATGTTTCCATACATACTAGAGGTGTGTTCAACTTCTAAAAATTTTATTAAAACCACATGAAGTTTCTACTTGGAGTTCTTTAATATGAGTGAGTACTGTTTGGTGATAGCTATTGGCACTTAAAGTTGATCAGATTTTCTGCACGTTATGTCATAACAATTGTCTATATTCTATATTCTCATGCTTTAAATGCAAGAGAAAAATGTAAAATTCTCTCCTATAAGTCATCTGGGAAATCTATACTTCTGTATTTGGAAATAGAGAAGTAATTCCTGTTTAATTCACTTAAATTATCAATTTTTAATAGATTCATCCTTCTTGCTATCTTCATAAAAAAAATTTTTTAAAAAGTCCCCTGTTTATTTTTGAAAGCAAAGACACATTTGTCATGGTAATAGTTTAAACGTACATCTTGCACGTGTGTTCCTTCATATGAATTTGGTTTGTGATAACCTAACTACTAAACATTAACATTTGAGTAATGACTAAAGAGAGCATAACCCATATGAATGCTCTTAACTGCCTTTTAAAGCGTGTTAATATGAGCTGTAGGTATGATTCTGTGCTGCTTTTTAGGAACAGATAGTTTTAAAAGCCTGTAAAAGTATTTTTATGAGTAATGTAAAAAGAAAAAATATATACTTGCAACATAAATGTTAGGAGTATCTTCAGATTATTTTTCAGTACAGGTGACTTGATTTTAATTTGTAGGCCCTGATTCTTCATTCTTTATTTGGCAGACAGCCACAGAAGTAATTTCAGCAATCACCAGCGTTAATGGGACTACCTGCAAGCAGTAAAGACTGTAGAATCAGACATAATGATATTAACCATTTCCACATTATGCTGTTATTAAAAGGCACACTGTACACTTTTCCCAGATGAGTGATGATCATCTCATCATCCCAGACGATGAGACAGTGATTTGTTGTTTTGCAATCATATTGTCAGATTGATTTTTTTTTTTTTTTTTTTTTTTTTTTTTTAAGAAGATCACAAAAAAGTTTGAGAAATGTATGTGGTCTTAGTCTATAAAACTAATGCCCTATCATTTAGAAGATGAGGAGGAGAGATTAGATAAACATAAAACAGATAAAACTGTGTTCTTTTTAGGAGCAGATATACTGTGCAGAGGCCCATGTCATAATTCCTTAGTTGCAATAATGATAGTTTTGCCATATAAGATAATAAAGAAGTCAGTAACAAGGTGCTCCCCTACAAAGGAAAAGCACAATGTTATTAAGCAATTTGGATTTTAAAATTCTTCTGTTAAGTAGAGAAGATTAAGGGAATATGAGATCACAAATGTCAAGATGTAATAAACTTGCTTTTTGCAGAGTACTCTGATAAAGTAATAGACTTTATTATTAGTGTTAGCCTTTGTTTAGAAAATGTTATGGAAATGAGAACCTTGTTTTTCTGCAAGCAAATTGCAAAGGGATCATCAGGTCATGGATGGGGCCAAAGGAACTTTTGTCAATGGTGATGGGATATAGACTTCAAGTGACTTCTGACAGCAATTAATTGCTTTGTAATTATTGATGATTTTAAAAAAATAAAATAATTCAAGTGAGTATATTCAGAGAGCAGTATCACTGTAGTGCCAAA